TTCTAATATTCACACGCGTATAATAAAAAGTAATGTGAAACAAAACACACATTGATATTTACTAAAGTGAGAATTAGGGATTAAGTCAATTTAAAGTGATTTTCAAATTTAAGGACAAAATAGCTGATTGGAAAAATTCAATAAATCAGCTTTGCTTTCAGTTTATCAATTGTGGTTCAAAATTTGAAATTCATTTTGAATTCTTGACATTTCTCACTTTAGTAAATAACCCTTAACGTATTGTCCTCCACTTAAACAATTACTATTTACAGCCTTGCAGCACTAGACAAGTTTATTTACCAAAGCCAGAGTTCAAATTCAGTTTTACATTTAAATTGATATGCATCACTTTGAGAAAACTGTCACATTCAAAAGCTTTAGCTTTGAATGAGAGAGTTGCCTCACTTTGCAGGCTGTAAAAAGCAGGTAAATATGATTTTTTTTTGTTTGTTTTTATGTTTGCCTCCTTCTTCTGTTTTATGCTTTCCACACCCACTTAATAGAGTTCTTTGAGTTAACCAGTCAGTGTCCTATCCATAAGAATCCTGGAAAAGTGCATTGAATTCTCATTTTAGTGAATAAAACTGCGAAAAACATATAAAATGGAATAACCGCTCTAGACAGAGCATAGGTAAGATTGTGCAGGGTACATGAGTTATCTTAGAAGGGTTTTATTTTGCCACAATAAAATTGCTTTTGTTGTACCCATAAAAACTTGAGGCGGTCGTCTGTAGGAAATAGATTTATATGAAATACCTTGGTGTTTAACCATCTGTGTTCACACCGAGTTGTCATTTAATTATTGAAAAACAGGAATTCAGGTAAATGTTTCTCATTTATTTCCTAACATTTTTGCTTTCAGAGCCTGGGATCACCTGTGTTTGCCATTCTAGGGGTCATGTTTGCAGGATATTCTTTGATCATCTCATCTTTGGGATTAGTACAAGGTCCATATTGCCAAACAGCGACTGGCTGGACGTATCCTTTTCAGAATACAGCAGGAGGGTATGACATATATTACTAATAGATTCCTTTTACTTTAGAAAAGATTCTGTGAAGAGCATTTAAATCTTATAACAAAATTGGAGAAACAACCAAAAGACATTATAGCCAGTTAAAATAATGGCTAACTGTGGTTATTTGAACAAAAAGGTGCATGCGCCTGCTAATACTTTCTGGTGGCATTCGTATTAGTGTAAATAAATCTGTACATAATCCAATAGTTATTAAAACATAGCATTTATTCCAAAAATATAAAAATGGCATCAAACCAACCTTTAGTAACAAAAAAAACGATATAAATAAAAAAATAAGTATTTTTCCAAGGCAGTCACCTAACGCGTTTCACGCAACCTAGCACCTCAAATAAGGTATACTATGCTGTTACCTGCTGGGATACTCAAACACTGAAACCAACAGTCAAATAAATGGGGCAGAGAATTAGCCCTCACTCAACAAATCAAGGAAGGAGATTATTGTGCCTTAATTACACTGCCAATAAACAAAAATAGCCTAATGGAAAACAATAATAGTAAAGCCAAATAAAAAAAAAAATGAAATGAAAAAAAACAAAAACCTAAGTATAATACAAATATGAGGAATTAATATAAACATAAATAAAACAAGCCAGCGTCAGAAAACTTGCCTGGAAAGTTTATTGTGTTCAGTTAGTAACATTCAAGTGAAACAGTGACTTAAAAAAATGACTAAATAGTGAAATCAGTGCATCCAAAAACAGATAATATTGTAACACATTGAACAGCCTGTAATTGTATGCATTTATTAAATAAGCTATCCAGCTATTTTTAGCATCAACGTTAACTCATAAGAGTCAGTATTCTGCATGTAGAATATGCATGCATCAATAATAAAAAGAAAAAAGAAAAATATCTAGCAAACCTTCAATTCATTTGGTATCAATAACAATCCCTATCCTAGTAAATAAAAAATAATTATTTCTATACATGAAATCTTTAGATATATCTATACATGTTAACTAGTTTATTAATACATGTATTAACTCCATGAAAAGCGATGGATGTATATGGTAAAAAAAAAAGGGTCCTATTATTCCCAAATTAGATTTGATAGATATTTTTTTCTTTTATTTTTATGGTTTTTTTCTGTTTTTGGATTCTTACACAGATTTCGCTATTTAGCTAGTATTTAGTAAATGGTGCACTTGGATGTTACAAATTGAACACATTTATCTTTCCATGCAAGTCTTTTTCTGATGCTGACTTATTATTTGTTATATTATATTTACCTCTATGGACCAGAGGGCTTTAGCCTTATTTTTCAATACATTCTGTCAACCTATGAGACGGGAATGCAGCACATAGGTAGTTGTGGTAGTCCAGCTCTATTAACTTGGTGTATATATATATATATATATAAATACATACACATACTATAATGAATAATGTGACTTTAGCATTATCTCTCTCCCTCACCAAGTATGATGTTGTGGTGGACAATCCTATGTTTTTTTTCATATTGTGCCCACATTCCCAGGCCAGGCACATCATCTTGTATTTATATATACACAAGGTCATGGAGAAATTTTATATCCATATTACTTTTTTAATGGTATGTCCAAAGACAGCTTATGTAGCCAGATGTCCAGTGTAATTATTTAAATTTTTGGGTAAATTAGGTAAAAAAAAAAAAAAAACTTGCATTTTAATTATGTTTTAATTAGCGACCAATGTGCCATTACTACATCAAAATTCTTAGGCTAATTTAAGCATTTGAACTATAATTTTGTGTCTGCTCATTGACTCAAGTTTTTTTATGCTTTACACCAGGTATCTAACAGAATTCTCCACGTGGTCTCAATGTTTGGAGCCAGCCTATGTGGTAGAATGGAATGTTATCTTATTCTCTATCCTGATTGTACTCAGTGGTCTACAAATAATCCTCTGCTTATATAAAGCAATATATGATATTAATACCATCTGCTGTGGAACACACTCAGTCATGATTCAGGTAAAAATACAATCTATACATTTTATTTATAATATGTGAGTTCTATAGGTTAAAAATGAGGACACGTTCAGGTCTTTTTCAGAGCAGAAGGGCCCACATAGGACATATTTATAGATTGGTGAGAACAAGTAGTTATGAAGAGCTTAATCAGTTGAAACCTCAACATGTGTTTAACTGGTTGTAATTGTTTTTCTAATAGTTGTTTAAATGCAGAGTCTAAACAGAACAATGTGCCCTACACATGTCATAAAAATGTAGTAATTGCACCCATATTATAGATATGTGGTTTTTATCATACATAATTAATTTATTTAGATGTTGCTTTTTGTGCAACCATTATTTTTGTAGATGAGATATTTCAGTACTGCTTTATCATTATTGTATTTGTAAACTGAATTAGAGGCAGTCAGTTCAAAAGAACATTACTCACATTGACTGGCCTTGAGGGCTTGTGTATTAAAAAACACAAGCAGACAAGCACTGATATCAATAGACTTTACTCGACCAGAAAGATGGCCAAAGAGGGCCGTACCAACGTGGAAAACATTGGTAGGGTCCTCTTACTACGTACTAGAATTACCATTGCATAGTTACAGGCCAAAAATAGTCACTGCTCTATATGGGGGACCACCGCAATGGTTAACCATTCCAGAACTTCATTGTTTATAAACAAGCACTTTCTACTTATCTCTCCATTGTACTTTTTCCTCCGGTTTTAAATCTCCTGTTACCCAAGCCTTGATTATTAGTTGTGCCGTTTGTCTTGACATTTTGACTTGCCTAACTACATTTATTGGATTACAATTGCCCTTACTGTGCCATGTGCAATTTTGAAGATGCTCTTTTACAGTTGCCCCTTAATGTAGTGCTCCTCTTTGCTCCTGGGCTTCCATTTACCCACGTAATACCATCTGGACATTACAAAATATTTAACATAGCATTGTAATAGTAACAGGGAAGGCAATTTGTTTTTTTTTCTTTATTTATTTGAAACCAGCCACCTGGTGTCAATGGACAAGTCTGCTTATGCTATGTAATATTTCAATAAACGTTTATACCATTCATCCAACAGATGAGGAATCCTGTTTATATCAAACTCCTAAATTCTTTCTACATAACAGGCGTTAAGCAAGGCACTTTATATTATGACTGTAGTGATATCATCTGTCCGGGAAGAATTGCATACTCTATTAACTTTCTTTTTTATTTTTTCAGACAGAAGATATATAATGATATGGGAAACATAACAGGTTTTTGAGACTGACTAGGGATTACATTACAGGGGAGACATATCAAGGCTATTCTGGGACAAAGTGCTAAACAAGGAACAATCACCATGGAAACCAATAGTATATCTCTCAACAGTCAGTACTTTGCACCCCAAAGAACACCTGTTTGACATCTGTCCCTTGTGAGGAGCAATTCTACAACTGTGCAACTATATTAGGCCAGGGACTAATTAAAAGTATTTTGAACTATTGGGCAGACTAGATGGGCTGAATGGTTCTTATCTGCCGTCACATTCTATGTTTCTATGTTACATCATATTCTCAGGCAACCACCTTCATCAAATTCTTCTGGGAGCAGCTACTGAGAGCCACATTATGTGGCACAGCTGTACTAAAACAATACAAAACAATCTGTGCACTCCTGGAAATTAATGGTCTTTTGTTAACTGCTTGTACATTTTCATTATACCGATCAGTATTGTGGAGGTCTTAATTAATAGAACTTTTATTCATTCTTTTCAATAGCTAATTATTATTTGCATTATTGGCCTAATTTGGCTACCCAAAAAATACATTGCTGTATAATAAGCCAAATATTACTGTGTAATATATTGTTTAGTGTATCTTCAGTGGCTGATTATCCATATATTGATACTAATGGGTTAATTTATTTCAAGTTTCTGACTTGCATGGTGCTCTCTATAATTGTGTTACGACAAGTTGTTAAAGGACCACTAAAGGGCACCCAGACCACTTCAGCTCAATGAAGTGGTCTGGGTGCCAGGTCCATCTAGGGTTAACCCTGACTGCTGTAAACATAGCAGTTTCAAAGAAACTACTATGTTTACATTAGGGTTAATCCAGCCTCTAGTGGCTGTCTCATTGACAGCCATTAGAGGCGCTTCCGCGCTTCTCACTGTGATTTTCACAGTGAGAAGATGCAAACGTCCATAGGAAAGCATTGAGAATGCTTTCCTATGACAGACTGAATGCGGAGAGAGTCTCCAGCGCCGAGGGAGCCCGGCGTTGGAGAAAGGTAAGCCTTTAACCCCTTCCTTTATTGCCTCCTATACTGCAGAAAAATTAGATACTCCTGTGCAGTAGCAGAACTAATGTAGAGAGGGCCCTGATGCAAGGATGGCCAAAGGGTAGATCCTGAACTATTGTGCAACACCAACAATGCTTTGTCAGCTGGGGAACTACCATTTCCCCATCCTTGCAGGCTTGTATTTGTGAGCAGCATAACACTTTTCCACACACCGATACTGACATGATTGCACAAATATACTGACGTAGATATGCATTCACACTGACACACACAGATGTACACATATGGACACTGACACATACACAGATACACACATACTGATACAGATACATATACATCCTGGCACACACGTATACACACATACACATACATACTGACACACAAATACACACTTATATTAACACAGATACACATACACACTGACAGATACACATACAAACATACACAAGTCATTATTTACATATTTTAGCCACCTTTCTGTTTCCATACCTTTGCCAATCATTACACCATGTGACCTGGACCCAGTTTATTACCGAGTGTTCAGGTTTGATTTAGATTATATGTTTATATGAAGGATAATATGGTGTGCTCATGAATTGGACTGTGAATTTAATTTTTCCAAATTATAATTCACTCATGGCATTGTTTTGTTCTACTTGCTAAAGTCTTGTTAATATTTCTTGTGAGAATCCAGATCCTGCACAGAAACAAGTGTTTCAGTGTAATAGCCAAGACATCCAATATCCTATTTAAGAATAAGTCCAAGGTTCAGTGAAAAAAAATCTCAAATAAAATCTGATGGGGGTAAGAATTCTCGCATACAAATATGGCCTATTATTAGCAATGAAGTTAAATCACAAAATTCTTAACTCCATCATAATTTACCAATAATGAGTAAAATGAATTATTTGGTATATATTTGTATATGATGTTTTACACGTGATTCTTTAGGCAAAACTTACTGCAACACCAATTACTGTATAGTGGTATATAAAATCAAATAGGATATGATTCATCTGAGGATGATGAGTTGTATTTCAGTAAAATGTAATGTTGGTTTGTCAGTGTTAATTATTGAAAAGTGGGATTTATTCACTAAAATCAGATTTATTTATTTTTTATTAGAAAGCCATTTGGCAACTTTGAGGCCATCATGATTTTAATATATATACTATACTTATATATATATATATACTGACAGTTATGCTGTTAGTTTCACCATACTGTTTAGTTAATACAGTCCATATGTTAAAATAGGTGTACCTTAAAATTGGTGTATCAAGGGTGATTTATATTAGTTAAATTTGGTATATCAGGGGTTATTTATATTAGTTATATGGTACTTTCATCTGACACCTGCTACACAAGTGATTTAGTGGACTTACAGTATCCTATGTCTGCCTAGAGCAAATATAGGATTTGCAGTGTAATTGTTTCATTTTCCACGAGTATGTGGCTTAGAGCATTTTGTAAATAGGAATTGGCATTGCAAGTTCAATTCATCTCTGTAAGAGTCTTTCTTCTCCCTCTGAGAGATTTTCACTAGTGTAGTGGATGAGATACACATGCAGTTAAATACCATTTATGCACTTTTATTCTTGCTGGGCTGCAGTAAACTTTTTACCATGCTGGGATCCAGTAGATCAAGCTATTAAGGTTCGTACTGTTACATCCTTCAAAATGTCTGTAAATGATGAACGAATAAATAAAAATTAGAATTTTGTAAATGTAAATCACTTTAATTTTTTGTATCTTTGAACAGCACTTTCTACTAAAATCGCTGTTTTATTCATCCCAGGTTTCAAATAACTATTCTAATATTCTTTAACAAAAAAAAGTGTTTGATTTTGTAGGAGTAAATCTCTTGCTCAGCTGTTCTTTATCATGCACGTATAATTTAATAATTAGTAACATGCTTCCAGTAAGAAATATAATCATTAATATATTTTCTCTTAAACTGCCAGAGGTTTGTAATCACCATTCCCAGACACAAAATACAAATCTTTACTGGAAGTAAACTCAGTATTTACCATTTACAACATAGGACAATATTATTGTGCAACATGGGGAAGGACAGTAAAGTCCAATATCTATCTTTTTGCCTGTTTATCGAGATAGACAGACAGATAGACAGACAGACAGATTAATAGATGATCCCTAAATAGTCTACTCAACAAACAAGAACAATCCCATAAATCAGGCCTGTCCAATAGGTAGATCCCCAGATGTTGTAGAACTACAACTCCCACGATGCTTTGCGTGCCTCTAAAATGCCTTTAAAATGACAAAGCTTGATGGAAGCCGTAGTTTTAAAACATCTGGGGGTGTACTGTTTGGGCACCCCTGCCATAAATGAAGACAGGGTATATCTGTTCTTTTTCAAGTTGGTATCAATCGAGTATAAGGTCTTGCAGCATGAAATTATATGTGAGAGTTCTTTAATAGACACAGGCATGTACATTATTCTTATTGAAGAATCGTTTTGTAATATGTATCATATATTTTTTTCACCCACGGAAACTAAATCTGACTTTATACACACACACGCATACACGCACGCATACACGCACGCATACACGCACACACACATACATATGATATAAGCAAATACATTTAAATATCTGGTGAAATCTCTGTAATTCAATATAGGATTGCAGAAGCTTGATGGTAAACAGTAGTCGCAAGCTGTTGCTAATAACAAAAATTGGTACCTTGTAGCAGCTGCAAACTATCCCCAGGTTTCCAAACATGTTGCTAAATTTATGTAGTTTATTACGCAAATAATGTCAAATTCAACAAAACCTATAACCGCAACAAAATTACCAAAAGCCACCTTGCGTATCCCGACAATACACTCACAGTAAACTTAAACGTTCACTAAAACAAATAAACAGCAGACGTTGTAGGTGCTGGCGAAAGATAAAACAGTCTTTTGAAATTATTCAAGACAAACAGAAAGTGAACAGAAATAGAGGGTGCAGGGTGTGTGTGTGTGGCGGTCTGGGACCCCTGAGTGCCTGCTGTGGAGATGAGCAGAGTCTTCAGCGTGGAAGTGGATTATCAGGGCCTGGTGCTGGGTAACCACTTGCCCTCTGGTGTTGAGCACCAGAGTTTGTGCGGCCACATACCAGAGCCCTGATGCAGCTACAGTGGATCCCAGGAACTTGAAGGAGCTGAATAGGGAGGCTCTGCAGCAAGAATGAAAACAAGAACAGGGCAGGACAGGACTGTACATAAACTGGGATTACAAAATAAAACAAGACAAGATATAAAAGGCAAAACAAGAGGAGACATAACTAAGTACTATATATGAAAAGTATGGGGATTTAGTTACATTATATGATCATACATTGCATAAGCCAGCCACAATGCCAATGTACCCCATATTCGGCAGGTCCTACACTGCCTAATGTTCGCTAAAAGAACCATACTAAACCACAATAGCACTTACCTGCAAGAAAGGGCAGAGACTTGAAACACTGCTGCAGGTCCAGACTGAAACAAAAGGAAAATGGAAAACAAATGGGTGTGGCAACATAAAACAAACATAAATGAATCCAGGAGACTGGGAATTCCAGGGATGGAATAATGGAATGAACCCAGAAAAACTCAGCATAAGGAAAACCAGACATGGAATAGAAAACCAAAAAAAACAAGAAAAACTAAACAAGAAATGTTAAAAGAGTACTGGATACCAGAAGCCATCACCAGACTGATCGGCAGAACAAGGCATGATGTGACAGGGGTGCGGTGTGGGAGTGTGAGGAGTGCAGTGTGGGATTGTGAGGGGTGCAGTGAGTGTGATTGGGAGAGGTGCAGTGTGTGAGGGGTGCATTGTGTGAGGGTTGCAGTGTGTGATTGTGAGGGGTGCAGTGTGTCTAGGGTGCAGTGTGAAAGAGACTTTGTAGGCTAAGATTGGGGCTGAGTGTTGCGGGGTCTGAGAGGGGAGAAGCTTTTTAATGTTATTATTATATTTTTATTTTATTGGACTTGAAAGGAAAGGAGAACTGGAGCCAGTGCAAGACCTCCTAGGTGTGGGCTAACCCCTGTGGACTACAAATAACAAAAAAGAGAAAAGATGGAGGATGCAACGCTTGGCACACAGAGAAAATTGAATACTAGAATGGTAAAATTACCATAAATGATTAAGACTTAACTTTTAATAAATCATGATAAAAGGTCCAACTAGGACTCAACATAGGAACTAAAAAAGAAAAAAATAGTACTATTGAGAATAATAAAGAAATACAACTTGAAATATACATAATTGTGTGAGGCTACAATAGCCCACTAATGAAAGTTGTTTTCTGACACCTTAATAAAATATTGGGACACACGAATGTGTGAGAATTATTATGTTTTGCTAGTGTAAGTGTATTCAATTGCTAAGTTTCTAGCACCGCCATTGATAAGTTGTTTGCCATCTATGACACAATAATTCTCACATACTGTGCCCCAATATAGATGTAGGGTAAAAGTAACATCCCCAGGACATACTTGTAAACCAGAGTAATCTGAATGTACCTTTCCTGATTAAATACTTTGTTATTATTATTATTTTTAGTGGGCTATTGTAGCCTCACACAATTATGTATATTTAAAGTGTATTTCTTTATTATTTTCAATAGACTATGTTTTTCTTTTTTTCTTTTTAGTTCCTATGTTGAGTCCCAGATTCCGTAGCGCTTTACAATGATATGAGAGGGGGGATTTAACTATAAATGACAAGAAAACTTACAGGAACGATAGGTTGAAGAGGACCCTGCTCAAACGAGCTTACAGTCTGTAGGAGGTGGGGTATAAAACACATTAGGACAGGAAATAGCAATCAAATAGGGTGGGAGTGAAGCAGAGCTGGAGGTGAGAGTAAAACACTGCCCTATAGGAAAGAGCAACATACAGGTATGTAAGGTAGAGGTTACTCTGGGAGGCCATAAGCTTTCCTAAAGAGGTGGGTTTTAAGGCACTTCTAAAATGATTGAACACTAGGAGAGAGTCTGATGGCAGTAAGCAGGCTATTCCATAGGCCGCCCATGAGAAGTCCTGCAAGCGGGAGTTGGCCGTATGGGTGCGAGCAGCGGACAGGAGAAGGTCACGGGCAGCGTTAAGAGACCAAAAAGGGGCATTCCAATCGATCTGTGAAGAGATATAAGAGGGGCTAGAATTGTTCAGTGCTTTGTAGGTATGGGTTAGCACTTTGGATTGACTCCAATAGGATACAGGAAGCCAATGTCAGAGGGGTGAGGTGTGAGAGGACCGACTAGAGAGGAAAATAAATCTGGCGGCAGCATTCATTACAGACGGTAGCGGGGCAATATGGCTTTTGGGAAGACCAATTAGGAGAGGGTTGTCTGGTCTGATGAATGACGTTTTCTTTTAGATCAGGTGATGGCCGTGTGTGTGTATGCGTCATTTACCCAGGAAAGAGATAGCATGCAGGATGAACTATGGGAGAAGGCAGGCCGACAGAGGCAGTGTTATGCTCTGGGCACTGTTCTGCTGAGAAACCTTGGTCATTCATGTGTAGGTAAAGTTGACACATATCAACTACCTAGAGATTGTTGCAGACCACTTCTTGGTAATCTTGTTTCCTGAATAGTGGCCTCTTTCAGCAGGATAATGCACTATGCCACACTGTACAATTGTTCAGGAATAGTTTCAGGAATATAAAAAGAGTTTGAGTTGTTGCTTTGACATCCAAATTCCTCGATCTCAATCCGATTGAGCATCTGTGAATTGTGCTGGAACAAGAATTTGCAGAATTTAAAGGATCTCCTGCTAATGTCTTGGTTCCATATACTACAGGACTTATTCAGAGATCTTGTAGAGACCATGCCTTGACTCATCTGAGCTGTTTTGGCAGCATGAGGGGTATCTAAATGATATTAGGCAGGTGGTTTTAATGCGGCTGATAGTGATGTCGCGAACCCAAAATTTTCGGTTCGCGAACGCGAACTTCCGCAAATGTTCGCGAACCGGCGAACCGCCCGAAACGCCATTGACTTCAATGGGGAGGCGAATTTTAAAACACACAGGGACTCTTTCTGGCCACAATAGGGATGGAAAAGTTGTTTCAAGGGGACTAACACCTGGACTGTGGCATGCCGGAGGGGGATCCATGGCAAAACTCCCATGGAAAATTACACAGTTGATACAGAGTCTGGTTTTAATCCATAAAGGGCAGAAATCACCTAACATTCCTAAATCACAATCAATATGGATTGACACCTGACATATGACATATTGACACCTTGACATATGGATTGACACCTGTCCTCAGAGCCCCTGATGCACACGGACACAGAGCAGAATAGAGACTGGTCCCCCTACATAGGGTCACTTGGCAGATATGGATTGACACCTGTCCTAAGGATCCCTGATACACACTGACACAGAGCAGAATAGGGACTGTTCCCCCTACATCGGGTCACTTGGCAGATATGGATTGACACCTGTCCTAAGGTTCCCTGATACACACTGACACAGAGCAGAATAGGGACTGGTCCCCCTACATCGGGTCACTTGGCAGATATGGATTGACACCTTGTTACAAACTGCTATTTGTAACGGGCCCTTTAAATGGCAAATTGCCCTGCTTCCCTGGGTTGTGGAGAAGCCTACTTGCCAGCCTCCTCCCGCATGACTATGGCCCCTGGGAGATTGTGAAAATGTATGCACTTTTATTTGGTGTGTATGGCCCTTTAAGACTGTCGGTGGGCATATTGGGGCTTATGGACTCTTTATGTGACTGGTGCTGGCCCTTTAAACACCTTTTTTGGGACATCAGGAAGATTGGGACACTGCCCCCTTTAAGGCCGTGTCCCCAGACTTGTTGGGGACACGGCCCCTTTAAGACGGTGTCCCCTGTGTCCCCAGACCTGGTGCAAACCCTTTGTGCCTGCCTGGCTATTTCCCACTTGGTTCAGTAAATGGAAATTATTTCAGCTGCAGAGACTAAGTCCCATTCGGCGATGGGACTTAGTCTTTTTTTCAGCCGTTTTTTTCAGCCTTATTTCAGCTGCAGAGACTAAGTCCCATTCGCCATGGGACTTAGTCGTTTTTTCAGCCTGAAATAGACCGACCTCACAGCCCAAATCTATGGAACTGTTTTGGGCAGGAAAATGTGCTTGCGGTCGGTCATAAAGGGACCTCCAGCTAACTTTTTAACCCCTGATGGATTTGGCTGATTTTTGGTTATGTTTATGTTTTAAGTGTGCTGATTCCAAATATGTAATTATGAAGATGGGATGTGTAGTTTTAAAGTTACAGTGTATGGCTAAAAACTGTATTTTTACTGCCTGCACGGTCTTACCTGTACACATGGAAAGCTGCTGTGGTTCCTTTACGAGCCAGCTGCCCGCTGCGGAGTTAACACATGTCCCGTGTGGGAGAAGCACTCTGTCCTGTAAAAGCCCTCACCAAAAAAGGGGAGTGGTGTGTTTAGTATTGTTCTGACCAGTTTAATACCTTCCGCGTCTCCTATCAGTGGACGTGTACACGGCATTGATTTTTATCTAAGCCGTAAACTTTTGCACAGCGAAGTATATTCACTGCCATTAAAAAGGAGTGCATGGCGGTGGTGTGGGCCCTCAAAAAGCTGCAACCTACTTGTATGGACAACCGTTTAACTTACTCACAGATCACATTAAATTTGGGGCACTGCGCGTGCAATCTAATGTGCCACCAGATAGGAGTGGTGTGTTTAGTACTATTTTACTGCCTAATACCTGCCTCCTATCAGTGGTCGTGTACACGGCATTGATTTTTGTAACAGGGAGATGGAAGAAGAGGCTTGGTCGGTCCTCTTACTGCAAATCTGGGGCACTGCGCGGTCAAGCTAATGTGACACCAGATAGGAGTGGTGTGTTTAGTACTATTTTATCAGTTTAATACCTTCCGCGTCTCCTATCAGTGGTCGTGTACACGGCAGTAATTTCTGTAACAGGCAGATGGAAGAAGATGCTTGGTTGGTCCTCCCAACTGGAGACTGTGTTGCTGTACGGGTGGCAGGTGGAGCCATTTATAAAGTACACACTGCTTTATAAAGCCATTTATAAAGTACACACTGGCGGCTTGAACCCTAGTTGGTGGCGGATAAGTCACGCAAGTCAACAGGCATTCAGAGCTAAAATACGGCAGCGTGTGGACCATTTTTAGCCCAAGGCAGCTCATCTCATCAGGCCTTTTTACATAGGGTCACTTCTGCTAGATATGGATTGACACCCCGTCCTAGGATCCCTGATACACACTGACACAGAGCAGAATAGAGACTGTTCCTCCTACATAGAGTCACTTGGCAGATATGGATTGACACCTGTCCTCAGAGCCCCTGATACATACTGACACAGAGCAGAATAGAGACTGTTCCTCCTACATAGGGTCACTTGGCAGATATGGATTGACACCTGTCTCAGAGCCCCTGATACAGAGCAGAATAGAGACTGTTCCTCCTACATAGGGTCACTTGGCAGATATGGATTGACACCTGACCTCAGAT